TCTCTCTCTCTCTCTCTCTCTCTCTCTCTCTCTCTCTCTCTCTCTCTATCTTTTCAGTGAAAAAAATCTAACTTTTCCATAAATAAATTCGAAAACAGAACGCTAGTAAACGAGAATGCTTTCAATTCAATTTGATGAAACGATTAGTTGATTGAATGAAATATCATTCGACGTACGCAAGAACGCCAGTGTAAACGTATTTCGTCGATGATTTTTAAATTGTTACTGTTAAACTGATACTTTGCAATTATTTCGCTACTCTATATACACACAGTCTCTTTGAAATGAATCAACGATTGCAATTTTGTATTGCAATGAATACCGTATAAGGTTCGACAGTTCATTCGTGCTGCTTTCGTGCCGAACAGAAAATTTAATGCGGAATTTATCGACGAAATTGATTTGATTAAAGTTCTTCGTATTCGGTTCGATTTTTAACGACGAGCAAATATTCTTATCGATATGAGACTGAATGAAAGAAGAGAGTTTTGAATGCAAGTGATGAAATGTAAATACGACGTAAACTCGACGTAAACTCTCGTCTTTTCATTTCATTCTCGTCTATTCTGCAAGCAGCAGGCAGCTTTATTATATAACATAAGATGGAATTTTATGGTTTTATATATTTTATTATGACCACCATTGAGTCGAAAGAGAGAAAAAAAAGAGTGTGTGCGTGTGTGAGAGGGAGTGAATTTTCGGAACGTCTTGAAATCAAATGATAGCTAAAGTTCGGAATTGAAATGATGTTAGAGAAGCAAAAGGATCGTAAAGTACAGCAACGTAAATTATGTTTTCAGTACTTTTCTTTCATCCATAAATGAAATTCATATTCATCATGCAGGCCATTCGTTCAATTGAAGCTCAATGCTTTCGAAATATGTGCAACAAATTCCAAAGTCAATACAAATTTATTTATTTTCTTCGATCGAATTTTGAGTTTAAATTTGAGGCCATGGGAAAAAGTTTGAAGTAAAGTTAACATTTTCCTTTCACTCCCTCTCTCTCTCTCTCTCTCTCTCTCTCTCTCTCTCTCTCTCTCTTTGATTCCCTATTCATATTCTTGTGCAAAAATCTTCAATTTCAATGTTCGCTCTCTTGCTTTCTTTATTAAGCGGAACATGTAAATTTCTTCATTAGATCCCATTTGAATAGAACCTTACATAGCATTCGGCTTAAATGTGGCCGACTTTTTGCATAATTCAATCACCTAATTTGGAAACATTTTAAGGCGATTACATCGATTCGTGATGCTTTCATATAGCTGTCAAAAATATTCGTCAAGAATGAGCGAGCGAGCGAGCGAACATAAGCGATTGAACGAATTCGTTTTCAATGGTTAATGGATTCAAATATTATTGGTAAAATGTTGAAATTCAGCAAATGACAATGATCATGGGTATAATAGAGAGAAAGTTAAAAGCCTAATAAGAATCGATTAGATTTAATTTATTGAATAAATGTTCATGCGGCTGCATGGAATATTGAAGCGGTGGTCATATTGCAAAATGGTTTATAATGCACTTAATCGCATGCAATATGAATGAACGTCATTCGCCTGGCTTACTCAACGTCCATATAATATACATATAGTAATCAGATAATGCATGTAGATGTAGACTTCGTGTGTATTTGTTCGGTGCGGTCACTGGGAATAATGACGATGACAGCCACAGCGACGGCATACACACGATAGAGATAGCGAGAGATGACGATGCGATGATAATGACAGCTATTTTACTGTGGAAATGGTCAATGTGCTTTTATGTTAATGCTTCGACAGATTTCGACATACAAATTCAACAGAGTTAATGTTTTGGGAATTGCCCCGTTACAAAATAAACGCAACGCTGGCGTTACTGCATTCACATCACACAAAATGCAATCGAAACTTTTTCTCAAACCTCATCGTCTCCAGGACACCGATACATAGCGCATGAGAAAAAACAACAACAACACACACACAAACCAAGAAAAATTTAATAGAGAGTGTTAGACAGAGGGCGAAAGATTGAGCGAAAGAGAGACGATTCTGATGAAAATGTGTGTTATGTCCCTTTGGTGCCCGAATGTTAACGTCGATAGTATCGTTTGTGGCTCGTGCACTGTTACGCATAATGCACTGTCATGGTTCTGTATCTTTTTCGCTCTCTCTCTCTCTCTCTCTCTCTCTCTCTTTCTCCATCTATATTTTGCTAATCATACATACATGCACAAAAAGTGAGCTTAAACTGTGAAAATTTAAAATCGATATCGCAACAAAATAACACAGCTAATGCATTAACAAGCCGTTCCCATACAATGTTTCAGTGTTGATGCGAATGGCCAGGCATTTGGAAAACTGGTAAAAAGCATTAAAATTATTAGCGCCTGGCCAATGAGATTTAATCGAAACGAGATTGAATGCATCGTTGATCGAACAAAACATACGCACGCAATACAAAAGAGATTGTGTGTGAGTGATGTACCATCGACATAATTCCAATGACTTGATTGTTACTAACAATATTTACACTCGGCAATTCAGCATTGTATGTCTGTCAAATTGGACAGCCTATTGCGGACGCGAATATATATTTAAACCTGATTGTGATAAACAAATCTCTCATCACATTTGGACCAAATGTGCAATCTACATTTGCATACGATACGACTAATTCATGCAAATTAAATCCAGTTGTTCGTTGCCAGTTTATTGATGTATCTGGATGTTGAATCCATTCGTTTAGTAGTTTTTGATTTTGACTTTGCGATGCGAAAACAATGATGATTTGTACATGAGTTGTAGTTTTTTGCATCGATGAAACGAGAAACACAAAAAGAGAAAACAGAGCTCAATGGATAAATTGACATTTGACGCCGGTATTTTTCCGCAATTTGAAGAGGCAAAAAAAAACATAAAATTTCCGACAACTTTATTTGATTATGGAAATTAGCAAACGTTACTCTATTCTATCTCTCGCACATGCAGAATAATAAATGGGAACAAAAAAGCGAGTATCATGCATATAAAACATTTTAACACAAAATCATTCAAATGACCAGAAAAACGCATTAAATCTAACTCCATCAATCTCAGTGACCATTACCATATTTCACATCATATTCAAATATTATCAACACCGGAACGTAAAAAAAATATCAAATTCGCTTGATTATAAATATTTTATATACGAGAGCACACGAATGATGATGGTGTCGAGAAATTATATATAAGTTACAATGCCGTCAAGCGTCATGAATTGTCGATGTAAATATGATCTTAAATGAGCTCACATGAAAGCGACCCAAGCGCAGGTATAATAAATATCAAAATACGAGCCGTGCCAATGATTGTGTTTTTCTTTTCGTTTTCCTGCTCATTATGTAACACAATCAATGTAATTTATGACGTAATTAAATATTCTTTATTCGATAGCCACCCACACATTTGATATTTTGTTTGTGTGGGCTTGTGCATGGATATGTACTGATAAAGTGTCGAAAAATACGTGTGAGTTCATGAGCCATATCGGAATAGTGGCTAGACAATTACTTTCACATAAAAATTTGCAAGATTTCTGGGCCACCGTCATAAATCTACCACTAAAATCGCAGCGAAACGGCAAGGTGGAAAACAATTCACAGTCATTCAGTTGGACTATCAATTTTACTCATTTTTGTGTTTTATATGCAACAAACAAATTTACGTTTGATAGAGGGGTTTTCGATGGAACACGAACTTTTTTACTTCTTTCACGGCGATAGTGTGGAAACAGTTCAAATCGCATTTGGTGCGTGCACATTCAGATATTCACAATTGATTTGAATGTGTAAGTTTAAGAGTTGAGAGAAAAATCACATACCTTCATTGCCATTCACATTGGCAATAAAATATCCATTAAGTCCAAGCACAATTGTTGCAAAAAACACTTCATTTAATCCCTTTGCTTTCATGCTCTCTTCCACTTTGTTGTTCTCTTGTGTGGTGGTGGTGGTTTCTGATGATGATGATGGCGGTGGTGGTGCTCGACGTTGTCGTCGTCACTAGATTTTCGCGTGGTGTAGTTTCTTCTTCTGCTACTACTCTTTCTTCTTTGCCGTCGTCGTGTGTTTTTTTGATTTTCTCAACGGCGGCAGCGGTGAACAGCCGATTTGTTTAATGGTCTCCGGTGTGAGCTTTTTTTTTTCTTCTTTCTCTCTCACTTTCAGCGTTTGGTTTATTCGTTCACAAGCACATTCTACCGAAAAAAATATATTTATGCCTTAACACACGTTTGAATGCGCCAATTTCTTAAGCAACGTTTGAACAATATTCTATCACTCTAGCATAATTCTTCTTTTCTTCTGTTGCTGTTTATTTCTTTGTTTTTTCTTCTTCTCTTTCTCCCTTCAGTTCTTTTCGATTTTGTTTTTTTTTTCAATTCAGTTTTGTTTTCTACCGTAATATTTTTCGTCTGTGGCTATATGGTTTATGATCGTAAAACACGCAATACTATTTTCTTGTGTTCAATGGTTTCTATTTTCCATTGTGACGTCTCCGTATAAATTTTCTCTCGTTTACTCTCTTCTTCACTCTCTGTCTTTCTCACTGTGGTCACGATTTATTTTGAAATATTAAATCTAAGCGCGTTTTGTACAATGCAATCAAATCAATTTGAGCAATGGGGTGTGAGCAGCAACGTCGTCTTCATTGCAATAATATGAAACAAATAAAAAAAACAATGAACAATGGTTACAAATACAAACCGAAAACCGTATTTATATTTTTTACGCCTTTGCTAAGACTAAATTTAACACTTTTACAGTTTAAACTCACGGTTTTATTTACTACACCGTTGTCGGTGGCCGTTTAAATCATCAAACGTTTCGTTTCTGTGTTTATGAGCGCAAAATGAGCGAACGGTTCATTTTTCCGGTGCTATGTATTGCTAATTTTTCGTATGATTTTATGTGTTAAAATTTTTATTGGCATGGCATTTTAATAGGTTTTCGCTTTTCATTGAGATTAATTGACGTGCAGTGGCATCAAAGTGGAAAACTTTTCGCACGTAATCCGTAACATACACACATCAACAGCATATAGAACCTATGAGTAACTAACTGAATGGAATTCAGTATATGATTGTCGTAAGTATGGGGGACGCTTGATACCAATCAGATTTAACAATAATAAATCCTTTGGAAAACTCTTGACTTGCATCGAAACCTGCATCGATGCAGTATAAACATGTTTGTACGTAAACACACTCACTCAAGAAAGAAACAAATTTAAACTACAAAAGTCTCAAGTCTTATTCGTCTGTGGACGACTTTAATTAAAAAATGTTTTTGGAAAACATTCTTTGGGTATTTCTTTAACTTTTCGCATGGAGATTAAAAATACGGAATTTATACTCGTTTTCTCTATAGCCATAAGATTAAAAGAATTTCTCCCAAATTCACTGAATAAATGATTTTAATTTTATTTTCTTTTTCGCTTTATTTTTATCTCGCAATCTTATTTCAATTAATTTCGTAAAATAATGTGAATGTGTGTTTAAAACTTGAAGACGATTAAGAATGTAACGATATTGAGCACTAGTTTTGAGTCGAAATGGAACCGGCAAGAGCAGCTGTTCGAACCTTACTGACTCGATTCCGTGGCGACCAAATCATTTTATATAGCTGCAATTTTTGTTTTGATACACATCGTCGACAAACGGCAAATGCATAACATTGGCATTGAGCATGCGTCGACATTTCATCGACACTCCGCGTGCTATATGTGCGGCATGATAGACGATTTGAATTAGATGGAACAAAAACAAAAAGAACAAATATAGCAGTAGTTACAACAACAACAACAACAAAGAAGAAACAATCACAAAACCATAACCATCGACCGCGTGGACTGAGTTTGAGGCAATTGATGACAATATGTATGATATAGAAGCTATATGTTTGAGTTGCCGTGTGATTTCGTCTCAGTCCTTTTCTCTCTCTCTCTCTCTCTTCCTCGAGATCTTCCGGAAAATTGTTGTATCGAAAATCGAACCGATGTACAAAAGCAATCTGATACCGAGATGAACTGAAATCGCACGCGTCTACCAAATACTAACGTGTGTCTGTGTCGCATCTCTTTTTCTCCCATTTATAGTGCAGTGTGTATACATAATCTTCAGCAAAACTCGATGTGTGTCTGTGTGCAAAGAATTGCAATCTTGAGTTTTTTGGTGCCGAACTGTCTTTTCGATACTAGCTCAATTCTTCTTTTTTCTCATAAAGTCTTGTCGTTCTGCTTTTGTGTGTCGAATCTTTGGTTTCTTTTCTTTACTTTATTCGTTTGCGTCTTCCATTGCACCACAATTTCGCCTTTGCTGAACTCGATGAAGTGTATAAGTGGCCTCAGACTCGGAAAAATCAAAATTGTATATATATGTAGTATGTTTTTCCGTCTTAGTCTCCCTTTCTTCCTCTCAATTTCTTGCCAATGATCCCAAGCATTGAATGATGTTGCACATATCCAGTTTGTGTCGGATGATTTTCATTGATACACACCGAAATGGCATACATTTTTATACATAGGAAACATAATACGATGTACCATCTCTTTTCAATGGGATTTGTGATCATCGATACGGTTTTGGACGAAAATGAATGAAATAAAATACCGAAAGTACAAAAATAAAATGATTATTATTGGCAGACCAATACACATGTAGGACGAGCGAAAACATTATAATTTCTCGACATATTTGTGTCGAAATGCCTTGAAATTTCGTTTTAATTTTGGAGCTATATAATTAAATTTTTAAGAAAAATTGCTGATCCCGCCACTGCTGCTACCCACATTTCAAATGTGAGCATACCACGTCAAAATCAATATATTGAATGTCTATTGAAATGAAATCGATCGATGACAATTTTAATTAAAAAACACTTTTGATGGCATTTTTCTCATTAAATTGTAAAACAATTAAAAATACTTTTTCCGGGACGGTTTTTTTCCTCCTATTTTGACCTATTTTAATTTCGTCATTGGCGTCGTCGTAATCGTTGTTGACGATCTCGCTGAAGCGATTTCTTAAAAAAATTTAATGACAATGATTCTTTGAAGAGTGTGAAAATTGTAATTGAATTTCTTTTGTCTGTCACAATAAAAGCGGCGACAACAAATCAATTGAATTGTTCGCTTCTTTTGTGTGCACAATCCATAAAAAGATATAATTAGCCTCGCAGAAACAATTACAATATAAAAGAGCCAAAAAAACATGCAATATTCGAAAAACGACGAGAGACTGTTATCTTAAGGCACAGCGACACACGTTATATAATTTGCAAACGTAAAAGAAGCGGTGTTTTTTCAAGCAGATGCAATTATGGGATAAAAATAAAAATTGAACTATGAAACATTGATTTATATTTTCCTTGCCAATTGGTTCGATTATACGAATCATTCGAATAGAAAGAAATGTGCCGTAAAGTATGTTATAATTGATGATTGTCGCACACGATTTAAAATTTTATCACATTATTTTGGCAAAAGAATCGAATTTTCAACCAACTGTAACTTAAAATTATCGAATGAAAACCAGTAAAAATACAACGTGTGTATGCATTTGGAGCTTAACAAAATCGCATAATCATTCGCTTGCATTGACATGTTCATTCTAAATGACGACAATTTGTTTCATCCTTAAAGACATAATGTTGTCTGTCATTATCGTTTCAAATAATAATCAGAACCGAAGCCAAAAATAAGTGGGGACAAAAAATAACACGATGATTCACTAGAACAATCGAATGAGAATGCTATTTTTTGATCATTTGTCTAGATCGGGGAGCTGGAATAAATTGATTTGCGTTTGCCAAACGATTGAGAGAGAGAGAGAGAGCGCGAAAAAAATGTGAGCCATCCAGCCCTAGATAAATATTGTATTCATTTTCTGCAATTAAATTAAGTCAATAAGCGATAGTCTATACGGAGAGTGAGAGGGGAGAAAAACATTGTTGTCTTTTTTTCTGTGATGGGAAGAAATCAAGAGGAATTTGATTGACTTGATTCATTGGCTCATCATTATTTCTCATCGTCTTTTTTCGTACATCATTTATATGTCGATTTTTGTATATACCAGAGAGATTGTGCATCGATTTTCTACATGGTTGTGTCTTCGTTTGTGCCATTTGTGCTCTTCGACAAACAACAGAGCGAAGCGTATCATCAGGTAATTTGATGGGTGCTCAGTCAAGTAATGTGTTGAACAAAGAATACTCACTGTTGGCTCAAGTGTGTTGTTTTTACAGTGTGTTTTTTCTCTCAAGAACATTTCTCTCTTTCTCCCCAATAGCATAAAATTGACTCTCATGTATTTTCCTTCCGAAGTGGTCTAGAATAACACACGAATTATTATTCAAGTAGTGCTTCTTCATCCTAGACAATGGCCTTCTTCAAACTCTCTCCACAACTCTCAACAAACTGTATGTAGTGCAAAATGAAATGACGTAATTAGCGATACCCCGCACCCGGCCAATTTAAATATTATCTTTGGCGTTTACAATTCCTAGAGTGCGTCATTTGGAGACACATTTCATAAATGAGCAAATGAAAAGTGGCACTCATTTTCGACTCAATGCACACTCTCTCATGAAAAACTACTGCTTTTTCTTTTACGAAGAATTAAGCAATTTTGGTGTGCTTTTTCCTTCTTCTCCACTACCATTAACATTTGTTTCCGTGAGCGCGAAAAATTCTTTGCACTCTATGAAATTTTGTGAAATTCTGCAGTTTTTACATTCATTTATGTGGAAAATATATATCCGAGCAAAATTACTACATGGAATTCGATCACCATTTTTTTGAGTGTATGAATTCTGAATTTTGCGATTCAATTGGAGGAAATGTGTTTGTCGATAAATATTTGTGCGGAGAAATTTAAGCGGTTCGGTTTTTATGATTTATTTGACCTTAGTACGCCCGATTAAATGTTCCCTGATTGTTATTGATTTTATACTTTATTTAAAATGCACACCAAATGAATTTATGCATCGAATCACACATTTCACGATTCCCATCGCAGTTATCAGTTTAATCAATCGCATATTGATCGATTTCTTCTTTTTTTTTTTTCATTTTATTCATCATTTTAGCATCGATTTATTAAAACCACAATATTTTCCACTTTTACACTATTGCAATTGATGGTGCTTTTTTCTCTCTCTTTGCGATTCGATGCATCGATGAGCTTAAAATATTTTTCGATTTCATTGTTTTGGGTTATATACAATATAAAACGTCTCTATATCAATTGGACTAAGTGTATTAATCAACGCGTTTCATATTAATATACAACATTTCTCGGCCATTTTTTGTGTGCGAAAATAGCTTAATGACTTTGAAATATCAAATGGGCTTACTAATTTATTCATTTATTGATAACATTAGCGATTGCATTTAATTAATTTTGTGCAGAATAATTTAAATGAAACGCAATAAATCAAGTAAATGTGATCAAATTGCGCGATATCATATTTGACTGATTAATTTGAACATTTATATTCGCATCTGAATTGATTTAATTGCCAATGAATGTTATAACATCTGATTTTTTGATAGCGTATTGTGCTTTCCGGGTATTTTATGCATCTCGAATTGAATTTGTTTCAATTTTACTGCATGAAAAGCAAACAACTGCGCTGAAAAAGACATGAGTTATAACAGTGAATAATAACCACAACAAATCATTCATACATTTTACTTTTCCGCACACATAGTGTAAGGTGAAAAGTATTGTAATCGGTCAAAATTTTGAAAACTTCAGAAACATGTTTTCTGGACGTTTCTGAGGTCAGCGAACCCGAATCAGGCCGTTTTGAGCATGGTTTATGTTAATCTGTACGTCGTACGTCGTACGTCGTACGTCGTACGTCGTACGTCGTACGTTGTACGTCGTACGCAAAATTTGTTAGCAAGATTGCGCTCATCGTAGAAACTTAATTCAAAATCTGACTTTACAGGATGATTGGGGGTCCCGAGGAATAGAAATCATTAGCTTTTGAGCGACTTTGGTTGATGGGAAAAAATGTCATGCCTGGAGTGATACCTATGAAAAAGAGTCCAATTTTCGTCCAAAAGTCATACTTAATGTGGACTTAAACATTCAAAAATATGTATTGGGGGGTTTTTTGGCACGAGAAAACCGAATCTGAGGTTATTTTTGAGATACAATCAATTTTTAAAACAGTTTCCTTGAAAAAATCACAAAAAAAAATGAATTTTTGTATGGGAGCCATGCCTGTATGATACTTTAATGACGTGAAACTTTGCACAGACTATTTTTTACACAAAATAATAACATTCTGAAAGTTTGAAGAGATTTCGATCAAAGTTAGGGGTACCTTCCATACAAAATTTTAAATTTTCGGCTCAAAAACGAATATTTTGTATGGGAGGTACCCTTAATTTTGGTTGAAATTTCTCCAAACCCTACGAATGTTATTTTTTTGTGAAAAAATAACCTGTGCAAAGTTTCACACCATTAATATAGCATACAGACATGGCTCCCATACAAAGATCCAAATTTTTTGTGACTTTAGTTATGGAAAGTGTTTCAAAAATAATTTTTATGGCAAA